TGCAACGGCGAAGTGAAGTGAAGTATGTATGTATGTATGTGTATATATATATATATGCATACATGAACGTAAAGATATACACATACATATGTACATATCATGTACATATACATACGCATACATACATACATACATACATACGTACGTACATACATACATACATACAGGCATACCCACATGCATGCATGCATGCATGCATGCATGCATGATTCACCCGCGCCCTCAATTTCGTTTTCAGCGTTTGTTCCACAAATGTGTCACTCTGGCGTTCTTACGTCCAGCTTGAGGATTTTGAATGTTCAGGGGCAGCAGTGTGCACGTTGCACAGTTCCTGCTGCGGTCTGGTGCACATCCTCGACCAACAATCACGTTCTCGCGACTTCATTCTGCTCCCCACGGCAGCGCAGTGCACATTCGGAGGTGGAAATCGTGCTCCCACTGATCAAAATCTCATACATAAATGGGTTTCGCCACTAAAGTCCTAGCATGGCCACACTGTTCGGCCTCTCGGCTCGTCGTTCCAGCACCGTTAGGTGAGGTTTGGAGTTTCGCGGTGGTTCCTTCAAACCGCTATAGTGGTCTTCAAAAGTACTTGCTGGGTGGTCTCTTCCACGTGTTCTGGTTCTACTGGCAATCAGAATTGTGTGGGGAGGCTCTGTTGTGATCTTCCAGTGGTTATCACCGTGATCCCTACCTCCTGCCCAATAACCCCAGTGGTTCCACGTTGCAAGCCGTGCCGAAGACTTTCTGGCGAGTCTGAGTTTGTCGGGCACGAGGTGACCCTGCATCTTCGATATCACCCACTCCATAGAACTCCAATCGACATGGAGATCAACATGCCTGGGTATGACTGCACCATGAAAAAATGCACGAAGCGATCTCACGTGGGAGAATTACAATGTATGGCGCTCCCAGCTCATCGCTCGGAGTTGCTTCACTAGGTAAACCTGAGACTGGTTCAGACGTAGACAGTCCACTAAGAATTGCTGGAGCCGTCCCTAGGACCCAGCTTGAGATATTTGTTGATTGAGCCGCAGTGAGGTTGCTCCTGGTCACGGTGTTTGCCTTCCCCGGCCTGGAAGCTATCGGAGCAGGCATTCGGGGTAGACTTCACAGAAAGCTTTGTGTATGAAGTCACCCGAACTCGAAGCTGGACTGGCACAGAACCTGAGGGCTGCCATTGAAGTGACGGCAGGGAGCTGGAGTGTGTCCCGTGACTCTCATGCGGCCCGTACAGCCAGGTGTACTCCATGATTTCAGGTACGCTCCAAAGTCTGCACTTCCAAATCACGTTCTTCCAACAATGGCCATCATTTCTGTCATGCAATATTGCCAGCTTACTTCCGACTGACACGGGGTTGCAAACCTGCACCTTACACATTTGTTGGAAGTGGAAAACCGAAAAGTGGAGCATTCGACGTCCTTTGCTAGTTCCAGCATAGGACGTGTGGCCCGACTTCGAAGCTCCCTCAGTCACCCTGACTGCAGGTGACTACTACACCTTTGGCACCATATGTTACACGTGCCTGATCATCGATGTCAATTATCGCGCCACGTTTTTGACGCGCGGGGCCTGCACTTGGAGGGCGGAGGGATTCGGGACCGTTGACGGGCACAGCCATGCGCGGTAGACATCTTGCATCTCAGTCACATCACGAATCGTTCTTCCTGTTTCCGAGTTGTACTGTTTCTTCCGGCAGGGGATGCAGTCAAGCTGCGGCCCGAAGATGTTTTATCTAGCGGCGCCAGAGGGCGGCGAAGGGAAGACAGTGTTGCTTCACTCCGCTAACGAAGGTATAATTGCAACGTCCGATGGACAACATTCTTGACCGCGATGTTCTCCTTCGTCTTGTGCCATGGTGGCACAGATCGTGGCACTGTAGTCTGATTAGCATCATTTCCATGCTTCGATCAGTGCTTTCTAATCTACTGCTGCTTCCGCGGTGCCCAATGCGCAGGCCAATGCTAGAGCCAGTAGCGTTATCTGCGCGCCACATTCCGGGGACAAGATTGGGGCTTGCAGGGTCATATCGGGCTCATACCGGTTGTATTAACTGTATGATGCAGGGTGCACACAGGGATAATTGGGTTTTACAAGGCAGCTGGAGTTCAGAACTTCGGGCTTGTGGACAACAGCTGGGGCTCCAGGGGTTAGCAACATGTAGGACTGCAGACACTTAGGGCTGCAGAATGCAGAGGTTAGAACAAAACAAATGAACCTCGCTCGCTTCTCACCAAGAAACTTGCGCCCGGAGCCGGTTGGTTCGGGTCGTATCCTGCATTAGGGTCTGTCATTGAAAGTAGTGATCGGCGATCTTGGACCGTGTGGCCACAGCGAATTCTTAAAAGGTGGCCTTTGCAGAGTTGGGGAAGTGCATTAAGACTCGTTAGACTAGGAAGAGGCAGTGGAGCTATGTGCAGGAGGGATCTCGCCGAAATCAGGTACGTGGTGTGGCTTCTTTTCTACCCGTCCTGGAAGTTTGTTACCGAGTTGCTCACACCGCAGCTTGGTCGCCGATAGAGAGGGTGCATTTTGTGTGCGCGCCGTGAACGACGAGTAGATTGATGCTTCGTGCACCAGGTTGGGGCGGTCTGGATCGATTAATGAAGCACGGGTCCGGTAGGGTTGACTCGAGCTGATCAGGAACATGTATATGGTGCCGGAGCACATGGTGAAAGGAAACGCTTATTTTTTCATCATGATTTTCGTTATCCCGCAACTTGGATTGCAGTGAGTTGTCTCTGTAGCTCTGCACTTACACATGGCCTCGGCAATCTAGCGAAAAGAAAGCTGAAGCAGCTATGGAGAGCCCGCAGAACAAGTCATACTCGAAGTGCGCACTTGTTCCGCCAAGCATTGATTCAATGGAGACCTCATCCTCGCAAGACTTCCCCATTGCGCAGCATAAGTCATGACAACGTCGTGCTTCGGAAGCATTCAGCCCATAGCATTCTGAGGCTGACCGTCCTGGTTTATGACATGTGCCTCAGCGGCAAGAGCTTCAACCATGGGCATGTACGAGGCTGTATGATATTACCACAGGAAGCTCGCCTGTTGAGAATTTATTTCTACTCGCCGTGCTTCCTGAAACAGAAGGGCGTGACCTAAGGTTCTTCCACTGGTTCTTCCATCGCTGCATGAAGCCTGACCACGCTGACAAAGTGATGCGTGATCTGGAGGATGCTTGGTTTGACAGCTTGTGGGAGCTGTTGTCGGTTTAGGTCTCGGCATTTTACACTTTGGTATTCTCAACTTCGCCAGCCTGCAAGAGTCACCATGAACAGCCCAGGATGATCGCAGCCGCACCTGCTCCTGCAATCCAGCTCTAGCATGTACGGTCAGCAGCAAGCCGCGGGCCGTAATTACAAAGAAAATTCACGTTTGAAGTTTAGGAGACTGGCAGTTGTCGTAGGGTCTCCCAACATGTGCAGGTAGTGCAGTCTGTTGTGGGGGTTTGGAACGGTCGCTGGGATTCAGCTTGCCAAGCCGGCATGGGATCTTGCACGGAGGAATTGAACTGTCAGTCCCGAGACTGGCCACTTTCGAAGTTCTGTAGGGACGGCCCATGCAGCCTATAGGGCCCATACCCTTTAAAAAGAGTGTGATTAATTAGCTGTACGCAGGGAGGGGAACCTTGCAGGTAACGGCGAAACATGTTGCTTGGCTGTGATCTGTGAAACGTTCAGCCGCTTTTGGACATCTCGTCTGACGCCTTGTGCAGAGTTTGGGGTGTTGTTATCCGAAAACATACAGGAAGGCCATGGAAGGCCGCTTGCACTTTTGATCTATCTGATTTTCGGAATGGAAAGCCCCTCCAGCCATGTGCACCGTCCAGTGCAGGCTTCGCCACTCTGACAGATGACGAGGACGCGTGGCTGGGCAGCAGCATGAATAGAGGGTCCTAGAACTGGGGCTGATGTCGGAATCATGGCTTTGGAACATGTCATGATGACATGGGTGCCTGTTCACTGCGAGATGTTGCTGCCAGATGCGGACGTCTTGCTTGGCATATTGAGATGCAAGCTGTATTTGCTTGTCGCCAATCTTTTTGCCCCCCTCAGTCGACAAAAGCATGAGGTCAGAAAGTGAGTCGCAGAAGCTGGTCATGTTCACAGACTGCGACAACGAGTCTCTGGATGTTGAGGGAAGTCGCTGCTGCTACTTGGAACAAAACCAGCCCAAAGGTATTTCCATACCAGGGTATCGACGAATCTTTGATAACAGCGACTGCAAGCTGCCCGCTGATGCATACTGGCATCTTGACTGTTCACATGGGCTGGAGGCATGCGCACGTTCAATTATTGGGCTCCCGCAATTTGCGGTGCTTTCACCTTTGCTGAATAGAACTGAATACATGGCGCATGGAGCCAGCGCTTATTCTCCGACACTAGCCTCGTGCTGCCTTGGTGCTTCTTACTTATGGACTTATGGTTGTTCTTGAGCTCCCAATCCGCCGCAATCCAACAGTCGACCTTGGGGCCGTTTTGCCAGTGTTGCATCTTGTACATTCAAGCGTTGTTATTCCCTCAGTCACATGTGGTACCATCAGCCATAAGTTCTTGGGGATCTGCAGAGTATAGTTCCTCGGGGCCATGCAGCCGAGTTTTAGGTTCTGCCGAATCTTGTCCTGAGTGGCCCCCCCGTAATCCGGCAGACCTCTCGTCCTGTAACAGTCCTGTATACCTACAATCCCACATTCCTGCATGGTGAGGCGGCTCCGTGTGCAAACGGATTCTTCGGATGCCTTACCACCAGAAGGCAGAAGCCGGGGCTCGTCGAGGGCTTTGTTCATTTTGGCGGTTCGAGCCGGTTCACAGAGGTAGCGGGGGACGGACACGGCCAGACTTGGAAGATGAGAACCGGGACGGCATGTATTTCTTTTACATCGTACTTCGTCAGACTGGATCTGAGCTGTTCTGGGTTTCCCGCATCTGACTTCCACGCGTTTCTGCCGGGTACTTCTCTGTCGAAGCCACGGGGGCAGCCTCGGAGCTCCTCTCTGAGCCTCCTTGAGGTCAGCATTGGTGGATTTCTCGGCGGGCTGATCCTGCTGCTGTTCGGGGGGCTATGCCACTGCGGACCGGACCAAGATACATTTTCTTCGCTGTTGCCAAGATGTTTGTCCTGACCTGCGAAGCTCCGTTTACCGAGTTTTGTCGAAGCTTCGCTTATGGTTCACGGTCATGTCAACGAAGTCGAGCCGAGGGAAGTCGGAAGGCTACGCGCAGCTCCGAATAAATTACTCGGCTGCTCGGCCACATTCTGCAGCTTGGTTTCGTTTGGGGGATTGACGCCTTCGGACCAGTACTGAGAGAAGCCGAGGAGTGGGAGGACTCCAACCTGGAGGAAGCAAGCTTCCTTGAGGCGGACACAGAGTTGGTCTCGCAATTTGAAAGGCTTTTCCAGGTCGTTCCGTGCTCTTGCAAGCATCTTCCGAGTATGATGTTCAGAGGTCAGTCCACGAGCAACAAAACGCAAGAGCCATGAAGCAACTGATCCGCGCTGCTTCCACCATCCTCGTAGCTTAGCCTTTCCTGGAGCGCTTGTGCTGGATCCCCCGGCAAAGTGGTTCACATCGCCCTGCGAAAACAACAAGATCCGCCCTGCAACCCTTTGCCCAGCGCTTCTTCCTGAACTATCCCGTGGGCACCAGAAATGAGCTGGGCTTAGTTGCTCACAACAGGGAGTGGGAAGCATGCCTCAGGCTGTTGATAGCCCTGAGGGTCTCAAGAGTTCTTGAAGGCCTGGCAGGTGGGCTGCGCTGGTTTCCCGCAAAGTTGCCAGTTTTGGGCCACAGAGCTCTGTAGCTCCCACCGTGCCAGTCGATGTGTGTCGATGGGCTTGGCCCACCTGTCATCCTGCCAAGGACGAGGTGTTCTCCATGAAGCTCGAGGAGACGGGCACGGCACATCCCCGCAACTAGCTTCTGCGAAAAGCGCGGTTCATGTCAACCACCACCACGACTGCACGCTGTTCGTTGTAAGCTTGTTTCCGGATTTCTATGCATAATTCTGGTCATAATCCCGTTGTGAGGCTATCCGCTTCATTCCGCTTCGTTGCTTTTGCGACGTATTTAGACACCACTGCCCGCGAATTGCCTTCGTCTCAGCAGGCTCCTCAACGTGCTGGGTAAGTGACGTTTGGGAATCTTACATATATTATTTGAGCGACTGCTTTTGTTATCATGTCGTAGGCCATACTTTGCAGAGATAAAATGAATCACGTGTTCCACTCGCATGGTAAAACGATGTGCCCCCCCAAAAGCGATACCGTCAGTTGCGCTGCGGGTTTCAGATGTGCTCGCCAAGCTTCGGGGTCAAGTTCTGTATACTGGTGGAAAGGCGTTGGCGCGTTGTGGAGGCTTGTAAGACTTCGCGTGATGTTGGGGTTTACACACACACACACACACTCTCTCTCTCGCTCTCCCTCTGTCTGTGTCGGTCGAGAGGGTTCACTTGGAATTACAGGTCCGAGTGTCTCGAAATTGCATTTTGTATACCGTTCCAGATCGGTACCCCAGACGATACACTGACGATACACACAAAGTAGCCTTCAGGTGCCCGGAAGCCTCCCAGCCCATGCCTTGCTACTACTAGTACGACTATACCACTACCACTACCACTACCACTACCACTACCACTACCACTACCACTACCACTACTACTACTACTACTACTACTACTACTACTACTACTACTTCCACTGCCACTGCCACTGCCACTGCCACTGCCA